ACTATTCCCGTCATGAGACAATCAAGCAGGTCATACAAAATGAACTCCCCCTATGTCTTGACAGAAGGCAAAATCCTAACACTAACTGTATAACCATTATACCTGTGACATTCTATCACTTGTAAAAATAATAATAATAATAGTCTATTTATATTGTGCATATTTACACACCACTGAGGGGCATACTCATAGAACAAAGTTAAGCAAGCAAATGTAATTATATTAAATAAGACATAAAACTTCTTTCCTTTTCAGCTTGAATAATATACTTAACCATGCTAAAAAACCATGTCATGCTAATGCAATATTAATAATATATGACAAGAGAAATTATCAAAAACTTTCAATAATAAACCATGTCATGCTAATGCAATATTAATAATATATGACGAGCGAAATTATCAAAAACTTACAAAAATAAAGCCATGTCATTAAACATGTTAAATACAAAATCATTAAAATTCTCCTTATTTTAATTTTAATTTAATCAATAATTTGTAGCAGCCAAACTTCATATTGCAAAGTATTTTCTAATTCCGAACATTGATTCTCCCAATCCCAAACCGAGATCTGTCAGTGCCAGGCCTGAAGCCTCCTCTGTCAGCTTGTCGGAGATGGCAGTCACAAGTGACAGAACATGGCGCCTTCATCCACAGGAAGCTGGACTGTCCCCACAGCAATCGAACTGATTCTAATCAATAGACACCGGAACATGGTAACAAGCTAGACCAGCAGAATCCACACTGAAACAGGCTTACATTCCTTGGACTCTTGGACTTAATCACATCGTGTTTGTTCGATGTTTGGTCGACATATGCTTTTGGAGACAGTGAAATGCCAGGATTCCTCAGCTGCTTGTCAGAGTGAAATGGTTTGGGTGAAAATTATGTTTCTGTTGAAACTTGGGTCTCTTCATGACAAATCTTGTTATGACATGACTATATCAGTATTCTTGTTGAGAAAAAAACTACAGTGAGTGAGGGAGTTTGGGTTCAATGCTGCCTTGAACACTCCTTCATATAAACCCAAAAGCATGGGTATGGTTCAGGCAAACCAATAAACCTGGGTTGGTTGGTTTGTTGGTTGGTTGTTTAACGCCACACTCAGTAATATTCCAGCTATATGACAGCGGTTTATAAATACCAGTAATCGAGTCTGGACCAGACAATCCAGTGATTGACATCATGTGCATGGATCCACGCAATTGGGATCGATGACATGCATCAACCAAGACACCAAGCCTGACCACCCGATCCCGTTACTCGCCTCTTACGACAAGCATAGTCGCTTTTTACGGCAAGCATGGGTTGCTGAAGACCTTTTATACCCCGGATCTGCATGGGTCAATAAAACCTGGGAAAATGTGGGATAGGCACCCATGACTAACAGATCCAGAGATGCACAACTGTAGGCCGAGGACGTATGTAGTCCTCTGGGCCACTCAACCAACATTTACCAAGATACATCTTTTCAGCAGCAACGTCAGTTACAATAGTCTTAATTCAGAGATCTGAATGGGTTTTCTTTTCCATAAACACTGAGAGTTAGTTGGGGGGTCTGGGGGACCAAGGCGAATTTTTTAATTGAGCATATATTGTATAGGCCCGTGATGTTATGAAATCTGAGGAGTTTCGCGGATCTTTGAAAAAATTCTCATCCCTGTTAACTCCAAACTTGTGAGAATTATCTTACTTTTATGTTGTTAAGCATTGTTAAGAATGATAGGTGTTTGGCAATATATTATTTCATACTAACAATTTCAGCATTATCAAAATGATTAACGTGAGTAAGCAAACACTTGTTTTCAGGAAGCTCTCCATGGGTCTGTCAAGTTTATTGGTACCCCGACCGACTTCCTTCAGTCCACCCACTTATTAATGTTAACACATGTAATAAATCACACAACCTTCACATCTCATGATCCTTACCAAATATAACATTTGTTACATTTGACCACTTTCTAAATGGCATTGTGTTACTGTATTCATAGCTTTCGGCCATGTGAGCTGTGCCAATTTACACTTGTCAGAGGGGTACTCAAAGTATGTGATCTAGACTTCCAGTTGCCAGACTTTCATTTCTGTGGAAGCCTCGGTGGCTGAGTGGGTTAGATCACTGATTTAGTGTGCTGGCAATTACGTGCCTCACTCTGGCAAGTGTTGGTTCGAATCCCGGACGGGACTCAACCCAAAAAAGTATGAGTATCTGTACTTTACTAAGAAAGTGTTATCCCAAATATAACATTTGTTAGATCCTTACCTAGTTACATTTTCTATCTATTTCCACCAGTGCCCCCACAAACAAATTAGAAATATGCATGAAATCATTCAAGATTAAACATGTTCAGTATCAAGTGAAATCATCTTTGCATCTTGTCTCTTGCCCAAACCAACATGATTATAATAAAATCAACTTGAGTCTGACAAAATATATTCCCATGTTAAAACCTACATGCTAATGCTGATACACGTGCGATAGGTTATCAAATTTCAGCTACTTACACTATCACTATTAAAACATGCCATATATTTACATATGTCTGGGAGCTTGAATATTCCATTGCGCATATGTAAAACAATTTTGCTTTATAATTCATGAATTTTTGCAGTTGCAGGAATATCTGTATATATATGAGACTGTCTTCATGATAAGTAATGACATTAATCCAGGAAAATGAACTGATCTGAATTGAACAGGTATAGTACATGGTTAACATGGCAAAGGGAAACAACTCTGCACAGAAATGAGCACCTCAGACCACTCGTATTTGCAGGACAAGATCAAGGAAGGAACGTCCTTTCACCTCCACTTGATAGGGAGATTTATATCTTCCATGATACACAAAAAGTATTCTCCTAAAATGTCAAGTGTAAATTAAAACAGATTAACTGATTATCCCTAGTACATGTAGGAGTCAGATCTATGGTATGATCCGTGGCAGATTCCACAAATAGGGCAGATATTGGTGTAAACTCAAATCCGTGGCAGATTCCACAAATAGGGCAGATATTGGCATATACTCGAGATCCATGGCAGATTCCACAAATAAGGCAGATATTGGCACATACACAGATCTATGGCAGATTATCATATAATATTAACAATTTGCCATTTCTGTAGCACGAAACATTGTATAGATTCATACATAGCGGCAGACTTTCGATGATCAATGTTGTGATATATCTGGATTATTTTTATCATTTCCTCTGTGGAACAGCATCGTCGGTGCAGGGATTGCATATCGGTACTTCTCTTAACGTTTCTCGAAGTTTCATCGTAAAAATAATTTTCTAAGATCTTCCACACCATCCTCTGCCGGAGTTGATAAAATCCGGAATATTTTCACGCTTGCCCATTTTGGGATTCAGAGCCACTACATGAGGAACTTTTTTGAAAAATCATTTGAAAATGATTTGGCTTTAGGGCACATTACGGTCTTTCGGTACTGGCTTCTTCCTCTGCCAGCATGAATCCCCTTTAAGAAAACCTTCATTTTCTATGGTGTCTGGCTCCATCGTTTTCGACTGATCACTGTGTCTATCAGTAATAGATGTTGAACTTACATGACGTCATCACAGGCAAAGAATCATGACGTCATCTAAAGCATGACATATTACAATTGAATAGATTGCACATTCATAGATAAGAGATCATTGTAATCATGACGTCATATAACTATGAGAATCTGCCACGGATCTGAGAATACGCCACAGATTAGAGTCCCGCCATAGATCTGAGTCCTCCACACACACACATATATATATATATATACTTACTAAGGATGATACAAAACATGAAATACATGCCTGTTAGTAGATGCTGGGTAGGTGATATGGGAGCTAGTGTTTTAGGCATGTCATAACACTCATATATCATGTATATGATAGTGAGTGAGGTACCACATTGTATATGTAATGATGTATACGGTGGGGAATAGAACCCTGGTCTTCAAGATGATGAAAAAAAGCTTCACCCACAATGTGACCCCACCACCCTTAATTTGACCAGTGGCTATAATGACAATAAAACTGGACAATGCCAGATGACAATGAAAAGAGGAAAATGGCTATGATCCCAAAATTCAAAGCAGAACTAAGAATTGCAACATGTTGCAAATAAACCAACTTCTGTCCAACATTATTTCCCACAAATCAGAATGGCCCACTAGAAACAGTAATCGGTTAGAGTCCCTCAGTGCACAAGCTTCAAGTCACTGTGATAGCAATGACCATGGTAGAAACCAACTCCCAGGAGCATGTACAGTGGGTGGGTGGGAAAGCATTCCAAGCTGTGGGCAAACCAACTACTCATTCCCTACTGGGAAAGTGTGCATCCTGTTACATCAGGGTGTCCCGATACAGCCAATCAGCAGCACCTACGAGCTTGCCAATACCATACAGCATCAAATGGGCTATATTTCATCAGGTCTGTGATAGGCACTTAAAAGTTATCTAGAGACACAAGATACATGGACAAGTTTTGAATTCTTTATTACACACAAAGTTTAAGGCTACTTTGCTTCACTTTAACAGGTAAATGATGATAGGTCAAAATGTAGTCTAGATATGTCAAGAGGCAATATTTCATGGAACAAACTTTTATAGAAAAATTCTCAAAACTGCTAACAATTCCAGTCTGCTGTTGTAGCTTTAACAAATACTCGTCTGAAGCTTGTGTCAAGTAAAATTTCTTCTGGTCAAGTTATCTCTGGTAATAAAAGTCTAAATTTACCAAACAGCGACCAGAAAATTTATAGACCAGTTGTAGAAAATGACAAAGGTCCAGACAAGGTCTGAATCATAAATAAAGGCTGATAACTTTCCTGTTAATCCTAGCCCTTGTGTAAAACTTCCAAAAATATTCCAAACGACTTGTTCAAACTGGTAGAACAAAATGGATTTGGCGGAAATTGTGATGTACTATACTGCAAGCCACGTATCGTAATACATCCATGGCACCTGTGTATCGGTACACCCTCCCACCATGCACCTCTCACTTACACTCATCTCTTCACTCGAATCCTAAAACAGAAACACACAACATGGTCAAAACAAACAAGATAAGTTATCAGTAACCATGGCAACAAGTATTAGTAACGGTATGAATAATGAACAAACAAACACACAGCAAAAGGAGGTTTTTTTATCAATGATTATCACCTGATGAAATGACTCAGTGGGTTTAGGATATTCATCGCTGTTTAGCCTATGTTCATCATGTGCTGACATCACCTAACCACATGATGTTAGATGGGATGTAATTGATAGTCTGGCTTGAAGCGACAGAGAAGTCTCTGCTATACTTATATATCTACACAATTGGGAAACAATGACATGCATCAACCAAGTCTGACCACCCTATCCCATACGAAAGCATGGGTTGCTGAAGGCCAATTCTGACCCGCGAAGATCCGGGTAGAATAGTTCTTCAGCAACCCATGCTTGCCGTAAAAGGCGACTATGCTTGTTGTAAGAGACGACTAATGGGATCGGGTGGTCAGGCTGGCTGACTTGGTTGATGCATGTCATCGATCCAAATTGCATGGATCCTTGCTCATGATGTCAATCACTGGATTGTCTGGTCCAGACTCGATTATTTACAGACCGCCCTCATATAGCTTGAATAATGCTGAGTGCAAGACCAATTCTAACCCATATCTTCACGGATGCATCAAAGTAATGACTGAGTTGCTCCGAGGTTGTGGATTATTAATTCTTCTGATGCATGTCACATGTCTTAACATGCTAAAGTGACTGAGTGAATGTCTGGCATATGCCTCGGTCAGCAACCAACAACATGACAGTGGCAGGCAAAACTGATGGTTGACAGCATGAGCATCAACACACACACTGAAAGACTTTGGATATATCCACTTGTTGGTTAACTCTTACAACAAGCAGAGGAGATACTTGAGATCTATTCAAGTGCAAACATTGAAACAAACTCATTTTCAAAACAGGAACCAAGCCAATGATATATACGTATTTAGACTTGCTCAGAGGCCAAAATTCGGCACCAAGTTTGCAGCAAATGTCAGTAAAAATTCCCAAATTGGAATTAAACATTTCCCAAATCATGTTTTGTAGTTATGTCTTTGTAGTGGTGACATGTATTCCATGCACTGATAACAGGACCAACACAGGAAGAGACTTTAATGCTTAGTTTAACATTACTGCATTGAAGTGAAGTTTCTCTATATGGTTGACATTTCATACATTTTTCTTCACTTTCTTTCTTCTTAAATGAAAATGAATAATATAAAGAATATCCAACTCGAACCTCAGAATTAGGTACCCTTTGTGAAAGAATGCTCCCCCTTGCTGAGGTGTTTACACCATTCCGACATGTTCACTCCTTGTAGCTCTGACATTGGTTATTCTCTGTATGTATTGTAGTATAATATGTATTACACAATCCCTTTCCTTCCTCGTTCCCATGCTTACACAAGTATTATGAGATGTGTTTATTTCTTCATCATGTTCATGATTCCTGCTGAAGGCATTTTCCTTTTCTTGTCCTGGATCTCCTATATCATGTATACAACTAAGAACGCTCTGCGACAATGATATCATTGATTTACTGTGTACACACACTTTGTTTAGCTATGGAACACTGCAAGCAGCCCTGACTGATTACTAAGAACTGAAATATACACAGCCACACGAAAACACTTTCTAGTTTAAATATTAAGTGCATTACAAACCTCCACCTATTTGTGGAAATCTCGTGACATTTTGTCTGACCTTATTTCACCTAGAACAGAGAGAAGTCTCAGCCAGAACACAATAATTATGAAGTAATTATTGATTAAACCTTTCATTCTTTTGAGAATCATTGAACATCTTGAATCATTATCAATATCATGTTCATAACTATTATACCTTTGAAAAGCAGTTCAATGATTTTATTCAAACCAACAAATGATTTCTGTACCTTAATCTGGAGGACTGGGATAACGGATCCTTTTTCAAAGGATTCTCCCAACATTGCCCAAATAATGGTAACATATTATATATCGGTATATTACAGGCAAAGGATACCATACCCAGGGATAATTCCAGGGTTGGGCCTTGTGCTTTTAGCCCCTAAATTTGAAAAAAGGCCTACATTTTCAAATACAATGGGGCATTTTAACATTGTGCTGTATGGGCAAGTGTGGGTGTACCTCTGGAATATTTGAAATTTTCAGATAAAGGGCCAGATAAATGTCAGAACATTCCTGGAGTGACACAATATGGTGAACCTTGCATACCCAAGGATGTCTAAAACTTTAGCATGTACAGGGGAGTGCCGAACATTTTCCCTACATTATTAATGTATAAAGTTTACATTCCACCTGCATGATCTGAAAATAATACGCGATGGAAATGAACTTCCCTTTACCTCTTTCCACTTACATAGGAAAATTTATGTTTTTCAGGACTACAAGATTGGAATACCATTCTCAGCTTTAGTCACAATGCCTTAGGTACCATTAACCACAGACCTATATAACCATCCAGGTCCGTGCATTAACCAACTGTCCGACTCTCATCCAACACTGGTCATTTGATCACAGATCTATACATATGACCTGTGAAGATTTGGGTAGAGAATAGGTCTTCAGCAACCCAAACTTGCCGTAAAAGGCAACTATACTTATCGTAAGAGGCGACTAACGGGATCGGGTGGTCAGGCTTGCTGACTTGGTTGATGCATGTCATCGTATCCCAATTGCTTGGATCGATGCTCATATCAATCACTGGATTGACTGGTCCAGACTTGATTATTTACAGACAGCCGTTGCATAACTGTAATATTGCTGAGTGCGGCGTTAAACAACAAACAAACAAACAAATCTTATCACATATCTGCATTAACTGGCACAGATCTACACTAATTTACACAGATCATTTGATCAAATATCTACCACAATTTACACTGGTCGTTGAATCACAGACCGCCATTAACTTGCACAGAGAATGTGATCACACATATCTACACTAATTTACTGATCTTTCAGCAATCATTTTACCACAGGTCTACACAAACTTACCATGGCTGAGATTTAAATTTTGAAATTTAATGACATGTTTCATGTAAACATTTATACCTACATTGTCATAAACAGGGGATCAAACACAGCCAAAAAAACCAAAATGAGGCAAAGGTTTGATATGTTTGTCCGGCATCAACACTGTTTCCCAATGTGGCCCTACAGTTGTACTCTGGTTGAGTGAAATCTGACATCATGTCCAAATGAACACTCACCAACAAGGTCGGGCTGACACAGTTACTTCTGATGTCAGACATCAACACATGTTGCATAACACTGGCCAATGTTTCAAGCTAACGCATCATAATAATGTCTAACTAGCTGGGGGCAAGGCAGTTTTGACATTGGGGACAGATTTAGCAGATCCATGCCTTAACTTTTCAGCTGTAGGCCTCAAGCTGTGAGAAAAGGCATATCACAATATAGGTGGGGATTTACATAGGATTTGGTGTATATCTAATTCAAACTGGAAGTTCGGGGTCATAATTTTCAAAATTAGGTAATCATGAGTAATTACCACTGTGAGAATACGATAATAATTAAACATATTGCGATAGTTCGTTGTGATAACACATTCACTGAACAACAGACCTGCATTAACAAGAGTGAGTGAGTGAATACAGTTGTATAGTGATACTGATTATATAGTGCAATGTTTATCAGGTACAATCAACAGTCTGTAACATCAGGCTTTAAGATATATTTTCTAGGAATTTGATCAATTGTCATCCAAAACGTCTTAAACATGTGAAAGATTGTTTCTCAAATTTGGTAATCATATAGAAAAGAATGCCCCATATGTTGATCATATACAGAAAATGTCCTTATGCCATAGGGGCTATTTTCACTATTGCGATTGTCTTCAGTCAAGTTTTTTGTACTCTCTGTAATTCAGACTGTGCCGTAAACCGGACTTTTTGACCAGTCCTAACAAAGTCCAAATTGGACAAATTCCACTGTATTGCTGACAGTCTCTGCCATTTTCTTCCCTACTGCTACTCAAACGAAAGGGGAGTAACTCTGAAATTGTTGTAATCATTGCTAACCAACACAGGCATAATCTATATTTAATTTATAACCAATTGCAGCTATTGAAACTATCAATTGTTATGCATACTATCGACAATACAATTGATATTTTAAAATTCCTGTCTATTAGCACCATTGTAGGGCAAACAATTGCATTTCATGGATGGTGCAATACATTATGTCACGCCAAGCCATTTGTCTGTAACAAAATCACTGAAGAGAAAAGCTGCTCACAGCATCTTGACATATTGAACCTAGATCAACAACATACCTCCATGCCTACCATCGCGACTGATGACATTATCTCTGTATCAGCCAGATGAAATGTCGCCTTTCTTGGTGGACGCCCATCAATATGCTATTCAGTCAGCAGCCATGATGGCTAAGATCTGAATCCTATTTGCTTGTTTCTACAAAGATGAGATACTAAGCCGCCGTATTCTGCTACAATACCTTTCACAAAGATGGCTTACATACATCAGATACCAGTATGAACATGATAAAAGGAAAATATAGAATTACAAAGCGGAGTGAACATTATACAGCCTAAAAAGGGTGAAGAGAGTTTCAGACTGACGTGAATACTAACGGGTCAATGACCCATTTGTTGATGTTCAAATAAAGGGAATGAGATCAGAAAGATGTGTCCCATGGTGTCCACGAATGATCACAAGTGACAAGTTACTTGTTGTTTCAGGGGTCAACACAGTTAAATCCTCCCCATCCCACCCCCCACAGGATGAACATGATGAAAGACATTGATGTGAATTGTGATGTTTTGGTTTAAAGATAGACTATGATGATCATGATTTAAAAAGTTGGTTTGTTTGGTGTTTGACGTCGCACTCGGCAATATTCCAACTGTATGACGTCGGTCTGTAAATAATCAAGTCTGCACAAAACAATCCAGTGATTGATTTCATGAGCATCGATCCACACAATTGGGATACGATGACA